CGCGCGTGCGCGCGCACGGGATGGTTCTGCACGGTAGAGAGGAGAGTTGACTGAAGGGGCTCTTCCACGAAGTCTCTGGATGGACCCCACACGATGATAAGGTGGAGTCCGGCTGTCTTGGTGCTCCAGGATCCTAGAGCCTCAGAGATGGTGCAATTTTACACACTGGTGTTCCATAGCATCAGAGGAGAGGAAGGCATCCTTGGAACCTCTTGGGGCAATGAGTGAAATTTAGGCCCAAAAGAATTCAGGAGGGTTAGGAGTAGGGCAGAGAGCATGTATGGCGCTCCTACTATGTGCCACTCCTTGTTTAGGCTTATGTTATTTAATTTTTACAGCCACTGTTGAGAGTTTACACATAGGAAACTAAGTTTCGGAGGAATTAAGTAACTTGTCCAAGGTCACGCGGTAAGGTACAGAGCTTATCAACCATAAGGTGTTGTCTTTGAGAATCGCTGGGCAAGGGGGAAGTCATTGTCCACTTAAAAAGAAGTTTGCTCTGTCACAAATAGGGGGAGGGGTCTGGTCCCAGACACTTCAATTGACTTCTGGCTTGGAGACAGGCTGGGTCTTGATCCCTGGATGGCTAATTATAAGTACATTACCTTTCTTCAGTCTGTGAGTTTCTAAACTCAATTTCTAAATGGTAAAAGTCGTTTTGAAGTGTTTCAGAATCCCAAAGAACTCAGTTTGAATCCTGACTGGGTGGCCCGTGGAAGTTCACCAACTGTTGGTGTATAGACTTGATTCTTGGTTCAGGGTAGTGCCAGCCAGGTAATTTTTTCTCCTTTTTAACTAAGAAGGCTAAATTTTCTTGGGATAAGAGAAATTTCCTGTTTGTTCAAATTTCTTTGGATTCCTGGAATGAAAGTTTCAGTAGCCCGCCTCTCGTGAAACATAATGTTCCTTCCTTTCTGTGTGTTCTCTGTTAGATAACTTCTAGGTGAGTGAAGACTGTGGGCCTGGAGTGAGAGACTGGTAGTTAGATACTATAAATTGTAGCCCTTAATTTTTCCATGCTTCAGCTCTTGGTTAATCAAAATGGTAGGACCGGCAGTGTGTATTGTTCTCTGTGTCAATGGTAGGGAAGAAAATTGGAAGAGGAAGTTGCTGAGAAAGAGGGCGTTTCTTAGCAGTGGAGCCAATATGTATTTCTTTGTTTGAAATTCTAAAACCAGAAAAGCAGCAACTGAAGGAGGAAGGAAGGAAAGAACTGTGAAACTCTTCTTCCAGTTCAGATATCCTTAAGAGCTGTTCCTGTTGCTGTCCCTGCCCAAGGAGCTGCTCTCACAGAAAAATTCAATTCTAATTTGTTCAAAGTTGAGAAATTGTATTCTAGAATGAAATAATTTTAAATCTGAAACCCTCTGAGATAAATTTCTTAAAAATCAGAACATTTTACTGAGTACGTTATCAGTGGATGATTCTTTTACCCAACTTAATTACTAATTGCAGTTTAATTTCAGTCTAAGAATTGAACTAGATACTGGATGATGTAAATATCACCACCACTTGAGAAAACACGTAATGGTGTGTTCAAGTTTTGACATTTGTTGAAAGTATTTTTAATGCTTTGTTTTACAGGATTGTGTATGTGTGAATAGGTGTTGTTAAGGCAGTGAATTTACGTGAAGATCTACCTTCATTTTCTGTATTAGTTATATGTTCTGTATAAGACTTAGTCCTAAATTAGCATGTCAGTCCATAGTATCTTGGGGCCAAAAAAAAGTTCCTGGGGGTTCCTGATAGCTCATTTGGCTAGGTGTCCTACTCTTGATTTTGGCTCAGGTCATGATCTCACCGCTTAGGGCTCTCCTGACAGTGAGGAGTCTGCTTGGGATTCTCTCTCCCTCTGTCTCTGTCCCTTCCCTGCTTGCATGTTCTTTCTCTCTCTCTCTCTCTCTCTCTCAAATCAATACACTTGAAAAAAATTCATGGGGCCAGATTTTTTTTTTAATTTAGAATTTTGGGGATTTTAGAAAAGGAATATGGTACATGTACTGTGTGTTATGTAACATCCCAGAGAGGTCTGGGGCAGTACTTTGTAATCAAACACATTACCATTTCTGTAGTGAAATGTACTGGTATAAGTAAATAGTATAAATAGGTTCATGTCATTTCATGTCAGATTTTACCACCAAATGGATAATGACAAACTTGTTTTTACAGCCTTTTAGATTTTGGAATTGAAGTTAAGGGATTGTGGACATGTATGGATAAAATTTATAAGATGAGGAGGATAATTACAAGGAAAAGTATTGTAAACCAAACTAATTTCAAAGCCATGGGTCCTAAAAACAGTACTACATGGAAGACAATTTTTGTTTGTATGCTTTTTTCATGTAATATTCTTATTCTACTTAATATATGCCAATGTACATTTTTCCTTAAGTACCAAGATTTACCTTTTAATACCCTCATTGATCCCTGGTTTAGATGTTTGAATGACACCCTAACCCTCTTTTTTTTTTTCTCTTTTTTTTTGAGAGAGAGAGAGAGCACAAAACAGAGGGAGAGAGAGAATCTTAAGCAGGCTTCATGCCCAACTCAGAGCCCGATGATGGGCTCAATGTCACAACCCTGAGATCATGACCTGAGCCGAACTTGAAGCGTAATCTATAGGGTGTTGTGCTCATTAGTTTTTGTGTAGCAGTTAAGAGAATTGTACCTTTGGGGCACCTGGGTGGCTCAGTTGGTTGAGCGTCCAACTAGATTTCGGCTCAGGTCATGATCTCACAGTTTGGTGAGTTTGAGCCCCAGGTTGGGTTCTGTGCCTGCTTGGGATTCTCTCTCTGCCTCTCCCCTGCATGTGCATTCTCTCTCTTTCTCAAAATAAATAAATAAATAAACTTTAAAAAAAAGAGAGACTCGTACCTTTTTTCTGTGTAATTCAGAGAAAGACTAATCAAGTGAGGATATTTATATTCATATTTGCAGAATGTAAAGTTCATGCTCTCTTCAGGATAGTCTTTAATATGAGGTTATCACTGCTGGGTAGGATGCTGAGTAGGATTTAGGTTAAGAAAAAAAAATTTTTTTTTTTTTTTTTTTTTTTAAGTAAGTTCTGCATCCAACACAGGGCTTGAATTCATGACTTCAAGATCAAGAGTCACATACTCTACTGACAGAAAATTTTTTATTTTTTCAGGAGTCCGGCTGCCTCAGTGGAGAGCATGTGACTCTTGGGGGTGTGAGTTCAAGCCCTACTTTGGGAGTAGAGTTTACGTAACAGATTTCTTATTTTTTATTTTTGAAGCTTCCACAATTTGAACATCCTGGTAAGGAGTTTACTAAAATATATTTTTAATTTAGAATATTTTTAAAAATTTAGAATATTTTTATTTTAAGCATGTGCTATATGAGAAATTTGAATTTACCAGCCTTATGAATTTGGATGATTTCTTTAAATGGCCAAGGACCTCTAGGAACAAATTATAAAAACTCTATTCTTTACTCTTCCTGGGTGCTTCAGCTATAAAGTGAGGTGGACTGGTGTTGTTGGAGGTTAAAGAATTATTTCTTCTCTTTAAAAGAAGCTCCATGGGGCGCGTGGGTGGCTCAGTTAGTTTAGCATCCCACTCCTGATCTCAGCTCAGGTCTTGATCTCAGCGTCATGAGTTTGGGCCCTGTGTTTGGGCTCTGCTCTGGGCATGAAGCCTACTTAAAAAATTTTGAGAGAATCTGGCCATCAGGATATCCCGTAGCCTGCTGTTTTGTGGTCCTCATTCATCTTTCTACTTGGGGTCTTTCCATAGTTCCTGAGAATGGTACTTTGACTGTCTGGGAGAGTGAACGGGTGCAGAACAGTGTATCAGGAGTTGCAGGTAGATTCGGTGTATGACTGGACTAGGCAGTAGGAGCAGTTCTTTTCCTGACTACCCCAGTTTTTTCTATTTCATAAGCACTGC